GAACAAAAGTAAGAGAAATTTAGGATAAGAATACGAACATGTTCCTGCATGAGGCCCATTGTCTCAGAAGGATAGCTAAACTTTCTGATCTGCAGAGCAGAGGAGAGTTGACTTAGTTTGGCACATGATCCTTCAGCAATGCTTTAGATCATGGGTGGGCAATCCTGGTCCTTGAGCGCCTCTATCCTATATGTTTCAGAGGTCTTTCTGTGCCAATACACCTGATTTGAATAAATGGATGATTACCAAGCTTAGGCAGAATTTGAGAAAGGGAATTCAATCACTGAATCAAGAGTGTTGAATCAGAAGAACAAGTAAAGCATGCATGACAGCGGCCCTCAAGGACCACGGTTAAGGCCCCCACATACTCATGCATACTTCGGTCTGCTGAGATCCGCGCAGACTCAAGGCGGACTCAATGCGGACCCAAAGTGGACTTCCGCCAGACCGGTTTGAGCAGAGATCAATTTTTATGTCTGCGTCTGCGGTGTGCACAATGGCATGTGCTGTTCTGGGTGCGACACCAAGCTGATAAAAATGAGAATCTGTGTCATTTGTGGATGAAATGTAGTCAAATTTTGAAAAGCATCTCATAGAGGAGATTAGAAAACTTTATGATGCGCCAATGAAGGAATATAAAGACTTTCAGCGAGCAACAAATTTGTGGGAGGAAATAGCTCAGAACCTGGGTAAGGTAGTTCTTTTCTTTCTTTTTTTATTTTATTATTCAAAGCTAAAATGCAAACTATCTCTTCCTCCTGATCCTTGACATCATGACTGAAATTGCGAGAAATTAAAGAATTTGTCTGGAAGTCAGTACGCTTGGGTTTGAAGCCTCAAACATCCACGGACAATATGCGCAGAGTCCGCGTGGCTCACGGACCTCATGCATTATGCCTGAGTATGTGGYAGCATTTACCCACCCTTCCTTTAGATGGTGCTTGGATTCTAATGATGATAGGGCAGATTCCAATRCCTGACCCAATTTCTCAATTTGTAAATAGTAAATGGACTTTARTTATACAACAGTTGGGCAAGTCAAAACATTTTACAACACAATCTCTGCTCTTATTTACCCATCCACACATTCGTTCAGCATTCTCCTACATCTCACYTGACTAATCTGAAAAAAATCCTTCTAAAGAGACTAATTGAGGTGTTAGATCACATTAATAATCAGACACACGTCAGAGGSAATAAGGGGTTTTAGTGTCTTCCCCAGAGACACTTTGACATGTGCTGGTGGAACTGAACCTCCAACTCTGGCACTGAAGGATGGCTYCTCTAACCCATAATTTGTCCATTAGACTAAAGGGCCCTGCATCCTTGATTCAAAGCCAAACAGTTCACTCATGGTCACGTGGTGTAAGGACTTTCTTTTCTGCATACACCTTTAATAGTCCGTGAGTCACAAACCACAGAGCTCCTGGGAAATCTGTCTTGCTGTATGCAGATGTAGGTCACAGCACAGGTTCCTTCCATCCGGGGTCTCTACGTTGTCCCTGCATCTGCCTTTTGGCCACAACTCTGTCACCACAGACAGATTCATCTGTAGACAATGTCTGTGWTATCTCCATCCATGAGTTTTTGGTCCTTTGACAGTCACTATACTGTATGTTAATGACTATGTAAGCATTTATCTACAGTTTTCCCTGTATAAGGTAAAGGTGCTTTATTGGTCATSAGTGTATGTTTCCACACAATGACGAAATTTGTGCTCTGCATTTGACCCATCCACACCCAAGTGGAGCAGCGGGCAGCCATGTGAGGCACCCGGGGAGCAGTTAGGGTTTGGTGTCTTGCTCAAAGACACCACGACATGTGGGCATGGTGGGGAGTTGAACCTAAGACTTTCGGGTCCCAAGCCGGCTGCTCTATCACTACACCACAGCCGTCCCAATAGAATCCAGTGAAGTCGTGTCAGTATGARGGCTCACTGGTTAGCACTGACGCCTCACAGGAAGAAGGTCTTGAGTTCAATCTCTGGTTTGGTCCTGGTGTCTTTCTGTATGGAGTTTGCATGTTCTCCTTGTGCTTGTGTGAGTTTTCTCCGGGTGCTCCGGCTTCTCCCACAACACAAAAACATGTACAATAAATTGCCTTTAGGCCAAGGCCTCCCTTGAAAAAGAAATCTGTGATCTCAATGGGATTTGCCTCGATAAAGAACAGTAAAATTAAATAAAATAAAATGAAAAAAGATATTTAAAAATTATTTTCAACCAAATGCCACAGTAAAAACATATAAAAAAAGCTCACACCTAATCTTTAGAATCTGTAGAACAAGTTTGCAGTGAAACTTGTTGATAACTGTTGCTGAATTACAGGCTATTTCTTTGTTGGTGAGGGCATTTACTGTGAACTGAGAAACCAGTTTTTATTATTTGTAATTGAATGCACCACAAAGTCACAACTACTGTCTGCATACAGAATCATAATAAGCTGTGTAAAAGCAAATGTTTTCAGGAAATTTGAAGTGCAGAAGATGTGGCCATGGTTGTCTGATGGCCATTTTCCTGATACCTGAAATCTGACAGCGTTTTCCTGAAAGTTTTTATTGTGATGCCTTTTAGTCAGAGGTCTAATGGTGTTTTCATTGATATATGATGCTTTTTCTGTCTGTTTTGATGTCTGATGATGTCCTAAAGTGTACACTGTACAAACAAACTTTTCTTTTTTTTAATTTTGAGTATTGTAGAAAATGTAACTTAATTGCATTTGCTGCCTTTATCGTAAGTGTGGGGTGACAGGATACTGATTGTATTTTTATTCACAATTAAAACAGACATGAAAAGGTCTGCGGCATGGAAAGAAAGAATGTAAAGAAAACCTATTTTCAGACCGACTCCTGCATTGTTTGCCCCAGAGGTAGATTTCAGAGCTCAGAATAATGTCAAACCAAAGTTAATTTAATTCCAATTGCTACTCAGAAAACCATTAGGATTAGCTCATTGACTCATAGCTAATAYTAGCTTGCCTAAAAGGTTGTTACCAATGTATTTTGTTGGATTTTGTGCATAGCATTACCATAGCAAGATATTAAATGCATTGGGGATAGTGCTGTTTTCCTCTGATTTAAAGAGRTAAAACTGAAGTACTGTAGAAATGCAATATCACTTATGTGCAGGCGTGAACTAGATTTGTATTTTGATACCTGCACTGGAGCTTCTCTGATCAAATGTTCATAACAAAAAAAATGTAATAATGATAAACATTAAACAAAAAACTGGTTTAAATCTTCCTGTTCTCATTTTAAAAGCATTCTGCAGTAGAATAAACAATAAATGTGGGGGCGGCTGCCAAGGTGGGTACAAGTGGGAGTCAAGGTGTTCACAGTGTAGATGGAGGTGGGCACTGAATTAATGTGTACAGCCTAGAAAACTGTTTTAAAGGCAGTGCACATGAAATAATCTGTGATTTTCAAAAGCTGGTTGTGCAAAACATTGCTGCAAACTTGATCACAAACACTCAAAAAAATCAGTGTGACTGGAGTCACGTGGGTACGTCGAGTAAGATGGCAGCACCATAGAGGAGCTCTGCTTACTCGCCACTAATTTAAAGGTTTATTCAGTATCTACACACCGTTTTGAAGTCAGACTTTATATTGTTCTGTCCAAAAGATATAGTGACCACAATGGGTGAAGTTTTTTTTCCTTTCCACATAATGATGGCAACAATGTCAAAATATTTTAAAGACTAACCTAACCTGCTGATCACATGGCCATCCCAGAACACGCTAACTGCTATGGCTAAGGCTAATGAAGAGAGCCTTGATAAATCTGCTGAAGGGAAGATAAGCCTCGAGCAAGTTTTTGCTGAGGAATGGATAAGAATTATCTCAAACACTGGAAAATTTATAAGGGAAAATAAAGGTAAACTCAAGATTAMGCAYATAWATTACTGGARACCTAATAGATTGAACTGAATTGGTCWTAAAGATGACCCACTATGTTTGAAGTGTAAAACAATGCTGGTTTCTTAGATTGTCTCTGGGAATGTCCAATGGTTACTCATTGTATATACACTGAGCTATTGGCTGGGAAGAACRAAACCACTTTGTCCAAAACTATGTTTACTTGGTGATAAAATATCTAATWKATCAAGAGGGAAGTTTCCAGTTGTAATGGTGAGAATCTCGGTAGCAGTTGGGGACAACATTAGACACTGGGAAACTGGAAAGAGTCCACAGGTGAAATAATGGGTCAACATGATGATTAAAATATTGTCTTATGAATGTATGCTGTACAAATTAAACAGGCACAGTAATACTGCACCAAACTGGGAACCTTTTTGGTCATATATTACTGAGTGGCAGCCAGCAAGCTGACAGCTGATACCTGATTTATACCATCKTCGCCTTTTCTGTTTATGGTCTTTCACACCTGATTTTGACGTACATGAATACTTCAGGTCTAATAATTCCTCCTTCAAACAGATGCTTCAACCCCCTTTTGTGATTGTGACTGTTTTCATAGCCAGTCTCCCTAKATTCCTTTTGTTTTTCTTTTTTTTTCTGGGGATATTTTTCTCCTGTTACTGTAAGATGTAATGATGWACCAAGTAAACTAATAAAAAACTTTATTGAAAAAAGCCAGTGTGACTGCAACTGTACATTTATTTCTTTATATTTTCTTACAATTTTGAGTTGCCAACTCAAAACAACCACAGCCCAGTTAAATACCTCCTTTACCAACTGCTTTCACATGCCAATACTAACTTTACATGRGTAATCAAAGCATTGTGTACAATCTGAAATATTTTCAATTAGGTTTAAGTTGTTGATTGAAAGATGCTGTTTTTTTTTCTTTTTTTTAATTTAGTTCCACCTAAAATCATCAACCTTTCAAGAGATATTGTTGTGAACGAAGGATCTAATGTCACTTTGAGGTGTCAAGCCAGTGGAAAGCCAGAACCATCCATAAGCTGGAACTACATTTCCAATTCAGGTAGGAAGTACTTAACTGTGGAAACTTTTTAAAATATTTTTAATATGTATTTGTGCTACATGTGTTCTCTATTTCCCTTCACTGTGAGTTCATCATGCTTTGTCAGTTCATTTACCCATAGATTCCTGATCCAGATCCWGATTCCAGATCATTGTGAGTGGTTATTTAAAGGGAAATAAATAACAATAGAATTAATTAGGTCAGGGGTTTTCAAACTGTGGAGGTCTTTGAAGAGAGGAAATTAATGTAATGCTTACGTTCAAACTGCAGGTCTTAGATTGGATTTTTATGCTTTGATTTTTATTTCAGTGMTGTATCACATTATTATTAAAATGTGACCTCCTTCAGAATTCAGWATGAACCATTACCAGTTCAGAGGGGCCATTATGAGCATAAAAGAAGTGACATTACCCACAGCGGGCTTTGTTTGAGGAAGAAGTCACACATGCTACATGTGCTTGTGTGATTTTGAAGTTCTTGTGCAATCAGAATTTGATTAAATTATCTGACCGGCTTGTTAGGTCCACTGTTTACGTTTAATCTTGCCTCTTGATGCAATGTAAAAAAAACTAACAGAAGAAGAAGGGTTGTTGTGATGTAAGGTGATTTACAAAATGTGTTAAATGTATTTAAAAAGCCCAAATGTTTAAAATGTGTAAAAGAAATAAAAATGTGTACAAGTTTTTTAAAGTAGCAAAATAACATTAAGTTTAGCAACAACAAAAATAAATATATATCATATATAAAAAATGATTTTTTAATTTATTTTTAATTAATTAATTAATTTATTTATTTTTTATTTTTTTATTTTTTGTTGTTTATGGGTCACTTAATTGTTTTCTCTCGAGGGGTGGTGGTGGGGGGGTGGCTGTTACACCCCGTAAACCCCTGAATTAGGATAACTGAATGCATGTAAATATTTGACAAGAATGGAGAAAATGAACACAGTGAAATGTTTTTCACAAGAAAGGAAATGCAATTGAAGCATGTCCAAATTAGGTTAATGTTTTGTCTCTGTGGTTTTGTTTCTTAATTGCATCTAAAGACTGAAGGAGGCAATATTCTCCTATTTATGTATGCCTGTGTACTTTGCTTAATCAGGCATTACTCATGCATTTATAGCCTTTAGGACCCCAACAGTTTGTACATGATGTGCTGTTTGTTGCAATCAGGTTTTGGGAATTTAAATTTTAGCATAGCAGCAATGTTTGCAGATAAATATGTGTTGTGAAAGACTAAACTACAATCACACCAAATTTTAACTCAGTAACTGCTAAACAGAAGTGTTAGTCATTTTTGTGATTGCTAGGATCACTTTCACTTAAATCCATTCAGTGATTCATGAGACATTTTGCTGARATGCATATAAACAAAATATGTTGCTCCCTGTTTGCCTTTGATAGTGGATGGTAAAAATTAGAAGTAATATCAATATACAGGACTGTGTAAAATATGAAGATCTGCACCCAGACTCACAGATTCCATTTCATTGATCATCATATTGAAAATTTAAACAATCATAAAAATGCTGAAACTCAGAGAAAAAATGAAATGTAAGAACTCTGGCACTGATTGATAGATTTATGTTGTTGTTGTTTTTTTGATAAGAACTGTTTAAAATAATTTTAGAGAAATAAGATCAGATATTTTGATGATTCCAATCAGAACTCTGAATGATGCGGTTGAAGCAGCAGCACTGAATGTTTGTTTCCTCTTTTCTGTCAGAACATGGGGAACAAGCAAAAGGAAAATGTCGGTGTGAAAGCCACAAAAAATTGTTTTATGTAAGAAAGAACTTAAATAAAATCTGTGAATGTATCTTTGTGCAGATCAGTCAGCTTTAATATAAAACTCAAAGGTGTGTGAGGCAGCTGTCTGTTAGCATAGATACTGGCTGAGGCTTTCTTAAACAAAACATCACCTTGGTCAAACTAAAATAAGAAAGTCGCTGATACAAATTCCTTTAGGCTCTGATAGAGAAATAAGCTCCATAAAAGTTACAGAATTCAAGCTTCATCCTCAGTTTCAGACCAAACTGGCAATGTGTTTCTTAAAAGAGATCCTTAAGACTGAAAGCCAAGAACTTGCATTTGACATTAAATTGAATCTGTTTACCTTTGACAGTTATAAACAACAACAACAACAACAAAACTCAGATAGCTCACATGAATGTGAAAACACCACGGCTTTAATTTAACCTGTTTTTAAAAGCAAACTGTAGCATCTGCTGCCTGTGAAAGTGAAGGAGAACAGCAACACGGTCATCAGCATAGACATATAAAAGGTTATTGACACATTGCCACACAAATATAATTATATAAAAATAAAATAAAATGGCTCCTAGGACTGAACCCTGTGGAACTCCTTTTGTATTTTTGAGAAGAGAGAAAGAGGAGTTACACAGCTGTACGGGTTCTTTTTGGAAGGGAGTCAATCAGCGAACCAGGAGTTAGGTTTATTTGAGGGGTTAATCAGATGCAGATTTTTTATTAAAGTGTGTCAACAGTGTGAAAAGCCTTAGGCAAGTCAATAAATAGGGCAAAACCTCTTTTATACACAATCAAGTAGGTGCAAAAGAGCATTTCAAATGTTTAAAGTGGCAGTAAGAGCGCAGCGTTGTTTTCTAAAACAAGATTGTAAGTCAGTTAGAAATTAGCAAAAAACCATTAGTTTGTCAGTGATTAGTTTTTAAAAAAATATTAGCAAAGACATATAACATAAAAATTGGTCTGTAATTATTCACTTCTGTGATAAATGGTCTGTAGCACCTTTCTATCCATCCAGGATACTCAAAGCGCTTTACAATCTGTGCCCTCATTTACACAAGACTACTAAATCTCTCTGCAAAGCTAACACAGGTAAATCAATCTACAGAGACTAATTCGTTCTTTAAATCACATCCATACACTGATGGGACAAACATCAGAGGCAGTGGGGGTTCAGTGTCTTGCCCAGGGACACCACAACATGTGACGGAATTGCAGGAAATCGAACCGCCAACTCTCGCATTAGAGGAACAATTCCCCTGAGCACTCCACCACAGCCAGGGATTCCCACCTTTCAGAGGTAATACAAAAGCCGATTTCAGACATTTGGGGGTTTTGTTGGAATTTAAGCTTAGATTGAAAATGTAAAACAGAGGTTTCACTTTATAATGTGAAGCCATGTTTAGCATGAAGGGATCCAGTTTATCTGGTCCTGCTGCTTTTCAGCTCTACACATAGAGGAATTAAAGATTCTAGAGTTTGGGAAATTATTCATTTTCAGCAAGTCAGATTTAAAAACTGGTCCAACTTCCCTTAAAAATAGGTCATAAATAAAAAAAACAACAACTTTAAATGCTCTAAATAATTCAGCATGTTTGATTTATCTGTCAGGATTTTGCTATTTTTCAATTAAATCTCTGACACTAAATCTAACATGGATTTTACTGCTTTTTAGAATTCCTTTTGTTTATTTAGATTATTTTTTTGTCATTTCAAAATGAAACACCTCTGATTTGACATGCTTTATTAGTGATGTGCACTTATTTAGCAATCAACAAAAACAAAGCCATCAGGCTCGAGCTTGTCTTTTCTTGCCTGGGCCCAAACTGCAAGAACACCAATTTCCAAGGAGAATCTGAAGTTATTAAGTCCTTTCACTTTAAATTTATGCAGAGGTGCATACTTATTTATTAATCTGAGAGCTCTTATTAGAAGTATTGCCAAACTAATTCAACATTGTTGAATGTAAAGACCCTACTCCAATCAACGCTAGTCCTCTACATAAGAAAAGAATTATTTGTATTCACCTTTCCTGAAATTAAGAACAAAAGAAGCAGAAGACAGATACAAGAAATATAAAAAATGGTATGGATGTTAAGTATTTCACAAGACTTTGTTAAAGATAATAAGGATCTTTATGACCCAAATGCTATAGCTAAAGAATTTAATCATTATTACATTAATGTTGGTCCAAGTCTTGCTGCTCAAATACCAAAAGCTGATAATGACGTGACACAAACAATCAGAAATTGTGCAAGCAGCATCTTTCTTGGTGAAACAAATGAGGAAGAAATGATGAGTGTGGTAAATAATTTTGGGGATAAAAAGTCAAAAAACTGGGTGAACATGGACATGATGTTTGTTGAGAAAATAATGTCTTATGTTGTTAAGCTTTTTACACACACACACACACACACACACACACACAC